AAACTCTGGGCTGAGACGAATGAGATTCGTTGAAAACAATTACTTTGCACTGGCTGGCAGTATTCTTTGGATCTCCGAATGCACTAAACGAAGGCAGAATAAAATAAAAAGAAGCTGATGCAAAAAATGAAGCGAACAGGCAAGCAACGAGGAGAAAGGGCAAGAAAACGGCCAAGCTTTTTCGAATTTATCGAAAATTAAAGCAGTGTGTGTCACCCATCCTCAAGAATGTCAACTGAATAGAGCCTCAGGCCTGGCCAGGCAAAGACTCCTGCACAAAGCCTTTGAGCAAAAGCACCGCCCTAGTGCAGAATGATCCTGGAACACTTAGGAAGCCAATGCTCATCAACAGAGAGCAGCTAACTGCAGCAGCACTCATAAATCATGCACAAAAATATGCACGAGCAGCAGCAGCAGGGCAATTTCAACCGATGAGGATTTGCTGCAGTCGAAGGCCCATTTTTAAAACAAAGCAAATTGGTGAAAACAAAACGGTAGCTCTAAGCTTATTCTTACAATTACCAAGATTTCTCGAAGGGCTACTGATGTAGAGTCTAGTGAAACGCAGTCAAATGACGCCGGCTAAAACACTTTTTTTGACGATTGCTGGACAGGTGCCTGAAGGTTTTTGCTATTTATAAAAGATTTTTTTAGTTTCCGAGAAAGGCGTTCCTAAGCTTCCTTTTGGATGAACTGGAGGTGAGCGAAATGCACTAAAAATAGGATTTAAAGTACTGTAAGCTGATTTATTTTGAGCATACTTCGTTCTTTAACTTGCTTTACAGTATCAAAATCGACGCGCATCGATGAAAATTAAAGACTATCTCACGTTTATTACAGTTTTCAATTAAACGAAATTTACAGCAATTTTGTTTAAAATTAAAATTAAAAGAAATTAAATTAAACTAAACTCAGTTAAGCTCAAAATTAAATTAAATTCAATTAAACCTAATCAAATTCAAAATTAAGCGAAATTTGTAGAAATTTTAAGAATAACGAAGAAGCTGCGCGCAGAATATCCTGTTGATTGATCTTTTTCCTTCAGTATGGCAGAAAAATGGAGGAAACTAGGCAGTGAACCTCAGTCAACTCATCTTCTTATGACATTAAACAGCACTTTCATTCCATGAATTTGCGACATATTTAAGAAGAAGGAAATAAAGCAGTGAAAATTTATGTAGGAATGAAAAAGTTGGTAGGTTGCTTTTTTGGGACATAGTCTTTTGGAAAATTCAAAAAAAAATCCTTTTTAGCACATTTTCTTAACCACATATCTTTTTTCCTCCCCTTCTCTCGCAGTAAGTAGAATTTGTCAAACGCTCGTAACTAATTTTGAAGAAAACAAAACACTTGTAACTTCTATTATATGAACTTTGAAAAGCAGTAGTCTTCAAGAATTTGCGTTTAAGCAAAACCATTTACAAACAGATGGCTTCCCCAGTAATACCACTAACATGGAATACTCACTCTGGTAGTACTGGCGGTCTTGGTATTCTTGGTAATAATATCTTTCCAGAAAAAAAAGATCATTCTCGATTCGACAGCTTGTACCAGCAAATTCCGTACAGTGAAAAACGACGAAAAATAATCCATAGTTTCCTGTAGCATACCAAAAGTAAAAGAAAAAAACTGGGCCAACCTTCAATGCACACCACTTGGTCGCGCAGCTGATTCTGGAGCAGCGGATCCGGGATAAGCTCGATCAAATCGTACACCGTGTAGATGCATGGATGAACACTCTCGAATCGCTGAATCTCATTGCGGATTTGCTCCGACACATAGGCATTTGCATTGCCACCAAATCTCCCGTAGTGATCCCGCGGCATCGCGATATTGAAATTTTTCGGTCGCACCACACTTCTACGCAAAAATGCTCGGAAATGTCATTGTCGCAGTGCAGGTCATATTCAGTACAACCACCACTTTTGCTGCAGCAATCCGTGGTTCGTGTTGCTCAGCAT